ACATGTTTTGATGATTAGAATATATAAGGGGTAAGTGGTAGAAACCAATTCCATTTTGGTCTTATAAAGGATAAATTTGTAATTTCTTAAAATTAATGAAATTTGGAAGAGTATTTAAATAAGGAGATATCAAGGTGAGGGATTTGATTTTGTAGATCATAACTCAATCATTTGAAGCCCCCAATTAATAGTTTTAAAATGATTTACAATTCATGATAAGAATTAAGAATATAAATATTGAAAATCTTTTTTTTAAATTTACAAATCTACTCATTAAATCTTAAGGGTTTAGTAGTGAGCTAGGCTTAATCAAAATTTTGTCTAATGAGGTTTAGAAAGTAACCTATAATTAATTTAAAACCTTTCAAAACACTAAAAGCCCATTCTTTTAAAATCAAATTAATTAAATTCCTTAATTAAGTTGAGTTGCCCCCAAGGGTCTTTACCTATATAACTTATAAATGAGACATCAAGTAATAATTACCCTACTTAAGGGATAATCAAATCATCAAATTTCACTGAGCATAAGGGTATTAACTGGGTGAACTATATAGCAAACACAATAAGACAAAAAAAAACTCAAGATAATTTCATGGACTATGAAATGTCTAGGGTATTACCCAAGACATCATCATAATCCTTTGGAAATCTCGAAGGACATCTGGACTTATTATGATTTGCTTAATAGAACCATCCTTAAAATTTACATACACCAAGATATGACATAGGATTTGGTAGGCACAGTTTAAGTTTGTACTTCCTACTTTTTCTATAAAGTATTTAATTCCTGCAAAATTATATAAATATATGCTTTGCAAGTACTGAAGTTTCAAGTGGAGGGACGAGAATACTCATCAGGTATGCTTTTATAGTTTACAGTCATTTCTTTTCTTGTGTTTTCCTACATTGTACTTTTATGCTTATAAATTTGCATATTAAACAACGATGTCACCCCGCATGAAAACTAAAACCTTTAGGATAACCACAAAATTGAAACCGAAACCAAAATTAAAATCAAACAAGATAAAATCCACCGCCACAACATTCAAAATATAAAGCAACTCAAAATTTAATCACAAACACCATAAAACAACAATTGCAACTAAATTAAGAAGTCTCTATCGGATGATCGGGAATCCCTCAAATGAGGTAACCTATGGTTGCTAACAAGATTTCCCACTATCTAAATGAAAATATGGAACTCATTATGTTGAGTTTAGTAAATTCATTTGGACTAATCTAAGAGAATCTAATATAAAATAGTGGCGCCAGAACGAAGGAATCGTAGAATCCTAGCCGGTGTCACTCTAATCAACTTTAATATGCCCCATAATATTTAAATGACCATAACTATAGGGACATCTGATTTGACATCATAACTTGACATATTAGAAAACGAGGATCAACAACAACATACCTTTCCTTAAAATTAAATAACAAATCCATAGAAATTTGAGGTTGTTTTCTTATGCAACATAAATCCTCAATTTATCTTTAGGCCTTTGTATAACAGAGCTATACAATTTAAGCTTTAACTTGTCATAACCTGCTTTAGGATTCTGAGGTTGTCGTCTGTCACAATCTAAATCCTCACATCTTTCAGGCTATTTGTGTGATCGTTTCACATGAATATAAGCACTAATAAAATAAAATTAGCAGAATGAAACATTCAATAATACTAATCTCCAAAATTGAAGCCAAATAGTAGGATAGCTTGGGAGTCATCGATGTTCTCCTCAGGATCTATGACATCCCCTAGTTCTTCCTTCTTTGGATTCCAAAATAAAAGTTCTAAACTTGAGACATTCCCCTTTCACACCTCTTTTTCTGATCCCGTTGAAAAGTCCTATCCTTTTGAATTCCTTGAAGATAATATCCCCTTGATTTTATCGAGAATTTTCTTATGTGACTCCAGTTTTCTAAGATATAATAAACTATAGAGGCTTGCCCTTATAGGAAACATTTCTGAACCAAGCATAATATAAACTCTATTTAATTCTTCGTATTAAATATAGTACATTGTCAGTCAACATAAAACGGTTTTCACAGATTTAACGGATATCATACAATCTTTAGTTTATTTAATCGAGCCTTACGAGTAAGTAATTTACTTATCCCTCGGGATAGGTGCACTACTTGCGGTATTATACTTGTTTATTTAAACTACTGCGGATATGAGATCGGTTTGGTCTTGTATTTTTAAAAATTTAAAATACTACTTTTTCTAGATTGTATTAAATTAAATTAAAACGGGTGTTAGGATATCCATCCTAGCAGCCGACAACTTAACAACTCCTCAACTTTTTAGTGCCGACAATGCTTTTAAAAATAAATTGAATTTATTTTAAAAAGTCAAAAATTAAAACATATCAAAATATATTAAATAAATTTAATTTTTAGAAATTAAAGGAAAAAAATAATAGCATGAAAAAATTCCAAAGTGGTCCTTAGTTTCTAAAAATAAAGTCTAAATTTAACTTTTCATATTTCATTGGATTTCTTTACATATGTTGTATTAGATTCATATAAATCAAATGTGAAGTATTTCTTTCGCTGCCTATATCAAATTCATATAAAAAAAAAATTGTAAGTATTTCTTTTGTTACCTACATCTTTTCATTTTTTATGAAAATACAAATCACAAGTTGTGAACTTTAGAATTGCCCAATCATTGTGAGTAACTTTTAGCGATAGGTTGGTTATTGCAACATAATGCAGACAACTAATTTCATTTCATATTTTTATTGAGGCTTAAATCATTATGGTAATATCATTATATCAAATTAATTTTTATAATTTTTTGTAATTTACACTGTATATTTAATACACTTTATCCTGAGTTTATGACCTATCATTTTCATTGCATTAATTCATATAAAAAATTGCGAGTTGATTGGATGATGACTTCTCTAACCAACTTTAAAAGTTTTGGAAAACTTTGCTCTTAGCATATATATATATACATA